TGGGGCAACTCATTGTCCCACACTCCCTTTTTGCCTCTCAGAACGTCTTTGATAATTTCATCTCTTTCTCTTTCCCATTAAATCTTATTACTTTACCAAGTTCTAAAAAGTATCCTATCCTTATGTAATGCCCCAGGGACATTTGGTGGTATTTGGAGACATCTTTTGGTTGTCACTGCCCTGGGCGGGGGTGGTTGGTAGAGTACATGGATGGGGGGAGCATCCTACAGTTCACAGGAGAGTCCCCTCAACAGTTACCTGTGTCAGTAGTGCTGCTCTTGAGAATAGCACCTGCTCTCCAGGTGTTCGCTCGGAGCACCCCATGTTAGAGCTGAGGAGTAACGAGACAGAAGGCACAAAGTGGTGCCTTTGGTGCTCCCAGAACAGCTCAGTGTAGCAATCACTTAAACATCAGAATTACGTACTATTTTAACACCCAACACTAAAGGGAGGCTCCTGAGGGTCTGACTTTGGTGAGAAACGCCTTTTGAAAACAGTGTTCCTCTCCGGGGCGGGGGGAGAGATGTGGAGGTGGGTGCGTAGGTACCAAAACAAGATTTAGAAGAGTTTCCTATAGGGGTTTATAACAGTAAAGCATTGGTTTTATTTCCAAGCTATTTCTGAGGGACTATGTGAAGGAAAAGTGCTAAGTCTAGGGATGGGAGAAATCTTACTTGGATGATGGGTAGAGCCAGAATGGCAAACCTGGCAGTTAGGTTTCTAGAAGGAGACTATTAGGAAAAGAAATGCCTAGCCTGGTCGGGTGGCTCAGTTGGCTGGAGCAGCGTCATGTTCACCAAAAGGTTGTAGGTTCGATCCCCAATCTGGGCACATACCTAGGTTTTGGGTGTGATACCCCATTGGGGCGAGTACAGGAGGCAACTGACCAATGTTTCTCTCTCACATCTATGTTTCTCTTTCTCTCCCCTTCCCTTCCCCTCTCTCTAAAAACCAATAAAAACATATCCTTGGGTGAGGATTTTAAAAAAAAAGCTTAGAACATCCCCCTGAGTTTATAAGGTGAATTTTTTGTTGAATGACACATCTAATTTTAGAGGTGTATAGTAAAAGGGCATGGATTAAGTTTTTTTCTCTCCATGAGTTTTCTGGTTTGGGTAGTATGAGCTTTGGAGGCAATCTCTTCATTCATTCATACATTTTAGTAACTCAGGCTACCAAGGAGTTTGAAAGTTCAATAATCTAGATATTCTCATAATAGTGGTGCTTAGTGGCTAAGAGCAGGGACCCTTGAATCAGACTGGCTTTGAATCGTGGCTCTGCTGTTTACCAACCTTACAGCCTTGGCCAGTATAGTAACTCTTAAAGCCTGTGTTCTTATCTGTAAAAGGAGTATAATATTAGTATTAATGAGGTTGTTTGAAGGTTAACTGAGTTAATATATGTAAAGTATTAGAACACTGGTATTTAATAAGATCTGTATAAGTGTGCTCCATTATTGTTATTATCAGTCTTTTTCTTACCTCTTTTTCATATCTGCTTACACCCACTGGCAGATTTTTTTCCCTTTGCTATCCATGGGGAAGAGCCAATCAACCAACTATTTTGAGCATCTGCTGCCCTACAGGGTCCTAGATGTGGGGGCTGCAGAGATGCCCGGGAACATTAGGCTTGATTCATTGGGTCAGATCTGTGCTCAGGCTGGTGAGCCATAGACGAAGTGGCCATCTTAAAGGCTGTATGGCCCGAACATGGCTCTAGGAGAGGCATGATGAATGCAAACGGACAGATCTAGGGGTTGGGTCTGGGTGCCAGTGCTGGGGGGCTCCCCTTACCAGGCTGTGGCTCATAACATGTTTGAACCATAGTTTCTTCACTTCTGGAATGGTAATCATACAACCGTTCTCACAGAGTTATTGTGAGAACTAAATGTGAGAGATGAGATGTATAAAAATCCCGGGTACACATTAAGTGCTCAGTATTGCCTGCAGCTATAATAAATCTATAGGCCATGAGTTCATTTTACCTCTGTGGAACCTGCGGATTTTTTTGATCATGTCACCTAGTGCAGTCATGTCCCACCTGGGCCACTTCCTGTGTCAAATAGAATTTTATATGTGGCCTCTGGGGTTGGACAGAAGTGGCTGCTAATCTCTACCCTGCCATGGACCAGCTCTATGATGGCCCTCCCTTGAGCTTTAGCCTTGGAATCAATGTAATAATCTGTATATGGTGTGCCTACTACATAAATGGTAGCTACTATTTATCCTAAAAGCACAAATGGTAGTTTCAGAACTTAAGTTTGATGCAATCTTACTCATCCTCTTCATTTACTTTTTTTCTGAGTTTATTATTCTTTTCTGAATTTATCCCCAGTTATGCCATTTTTAACAAGTTTTAGTCCTGTCTGGGTGATATTTGTGATTTTATTCAGCTGTAAGCTTGGAATGGATATAATTTTGTGTGCTGCTTTTTTCACTTAATATTATATGGTTAACAGTATCTGTGTTTCATAAACATTGTTGTAATGACTGCCTACTGAATTGCTGAGTAGATGTACCATAATTTAATCATCTCCCTAGTGCTGTGCAATTATTTCTAGTATTTTTCATTTATAGTGTTTCAGTGAACAAATACATATATGTAGCTTTTTTGACATTTTGAATTTAGTTCTATAGGTCATAGCCCCAGTCATATTATTTGGTCAAAGGAGATAAACATGTCTTCTGATACATTTGGCCAAATTGCTTTCCCAAAGGGCTCAACTGATTTGTATTTCCATCTTCCTTATTTTATAAACTTTAGTTCATTCTCTTACTCAGCAAGCATTGTTAAGCTCTCAGGGTGTGGTAGGCCTAGTGAGAAGACCAGCTCAACTTTGGTCTTGGAGATCCTAGTCACAGCATGCCTTCTTTCAAAGAGGGACCCATTTGTCTTTTATGTTTTTCCTGGTGTGCTGTCTATAGTATACTATTCCTCATAGTTAGAGGCTAATGGTGGGTTGTTTTTTTTGTTCCATTTATGGAAAATTTAGGAAAGCATTTAAAAAATTACCCATTTCTTATCACCTCAGGACATACACTGTTATCACCCTTATATTGCTTTTCAAATGGAAGATTTTTTAAAAAGGTTAATGCGGAACTATATCAAAGGCGTTTGCAAATTAAAAATGGGCTGTTTAAAATTCCAAAAATCCAACAATAAATAATAAAGAGAAACCCCAAGACAATCTGAAGCACCAGCAATCAGCAGAAAGGTTAACTTAATTACAGTCCATTCACAGTGTAGAATATTAAGTGGTCATTAAAACCCATATTTTAGGAGAATATTGTATATGATGGAAAACACTCCCAGCATGATGCTAAATAAAAAAGCAAAATACAAAACTATGTATGATATCTAATCTCAATTTTGTAGAAAAAATATTATTTATGTATGCATAGAATAAAAGACAAAAAATGTTAACAGAGAACCATTGTTAGCTCAATTTAGTAGGGATTCTTGCTGCAAAGTATGACTGGGGTGGTTTATATCTACTTAAACATTTTTTTAAATTTTGATTTTTCTACAAAAAATATATATGGTCTTGAGGGTGAAGAAAATAATTCTATTAAAAGAGAATAGGGAGGGGGATTTCATACCAGTGTCTCTTGGTTTTATGGTGCTAAAGCCACAGTTGTAATTACTCTTAACCACAGGCCTCATCACTCTTTTGGGCTCTTGATGTTCATCCTAATTAGAACATCAGAGTCTAGAAATGAGAGGAAGAAAGAGGTGAGAGCCTTCAGGCAGTGTACAGACGGCCCCCAACTTATGATAGTTTGACCTAACAATTTTTCGACTTTACAATGGTGCAAAAGTGATACCTATTCAGTAGAACTCATACTTTGAATTTGGACCTTCTGTGCTAGCAATTTGCAGTACGGTCTCTCTCGTGATGCTGGGAGCAGCAGTAAGTTGCAGCTCCCAGCTGGGCACACGTTCACAAGAGTAAACAACCCACACCCTACAGTGTATTCACTGTGTGAGATGGTTTTGCCTAACTGTAGGCTAATGTAAGTGTTCTGAGCACATTTAAGTCCGGTAGGCTAAGCTATGATGTTCAATTTCGACTTACAGTATTTTCAGTTTACAATGGATTTACTGGGACATAACCCCATTGTAAGAAGAGGAGCATCTGTAGTTGTCTGAACACCAGTGGTTCAATTAAATTCTGTCTAATGATTTCCATCCTGTCCCTGTGCTTTATTTATCCCTTGGTAACTCATTGAGGCAGGGTTTTCCTTTAGAGAAACCTCATTGCTTTAACCTGTGGATCGGACTTACTTACACGTTTAATGATCTACCCACTGGAGAAGATGTTGACCAGATCTTGCTGGATGGAGGTCTTTGCACTCTGACTCCTCCCAGCTCTTTCCAGTCCTGGGTGTGTGGAGGTCAATATTGAATTCTGTGTGAATTTCCATTGTCCTTTGGAACCCTCTTCTCAGCCTCATGGGAGGAGGGGGGGGGCAACTTTGTGTGCATTTGAAGAACAGAGGTGGTGTGCGTTTAGCACAGCAAGGCCCGATAGCCCTGGCCTTCTTCTTCCAATAAATGAACATCGTTGTGTACCTGAAACTGTGCTAATGCTGGGGATACAGAGATGACTGGACCCAGTGCTTGCCTGCAGGGTGCTCATATTGCTGTGAGGAAACCAGTGATAGAATCAGATGATTTCAGGGGCATTGTTCCTGTGGGAGCTCAGGAGAAGGACATTATGTCTGTTTGAGACTTGCAGAATGAGCAGAAATGAGCCAGATGACACAGGATGGGCAGCGTCTTTCCCTCTCTCAAGGAAAATGTGGAGAGCTAGAATAATATGTCACAAGGTGAGAACTGCAGACAGTAAAGTGGTATGAAAGCTTAGAGAGTGGTGGGAGAGACTGGAGAAGTTGATCAATTGCTGAGTTAATTTCTCTGTGGATTTCCCAAAGCCCAAAAGTGTCAGGTATCCGTATTACTGTTTAAACTCACAGTGCTCTGTCTTATTTCCCTCTCAGTGTCAGTTGTTGCTGGAAGTGGCCTGGCCTCTATTTATCTTCCTGATCCTGATCTCCGTTCGGCTGAGCTACCCACCCTATGAACAACATGAATGTGAGTATCTGAGCATCCTGCCTGAGGCTCTCCACTGGCAATAGAGATCCAGGCCATGGGCGTGGGCTAAATTTGACCTCCCCTGAGACACTATCTTTAGGAAACACTGTAAATGGGTTGGAGCAGAAAAGCTAGGCTCTCAAGTTTTGGATAAGTCCTGAACTCAGGAAACGATTCTCAATCCTAGGGAATGGTCATAATAGTAACTATAATAATAGCCAATGTCTGTTTCATACATTTTAAATCACAAAAATAACCTTACTGATAGTTCAGAACGTGGTGATTAACAAAGGTCCCTAGGGCAGTGCCTTGACACCACCATCAGCTGCTTTTATTACACGGGTGCAAATCGTGGAACATACTAGTAATTCTAAGCAGCATTTGCGTAGAGCAGCGGTTCTCAGCCTGTGGGTTGCGACCACTTTGGGGGTTGAATGACTCTTTCACAGAGGTCACCTAAATACATCCTGCATATCAGATATTTACATTACGATTCAGAACAGTAGCAACATTACAGTTATGAAGTAGCAACGAAAATAATTTTATGATTGGGGGTCACCACAACATGAGGAACTGTATTAAAGGGTCGCAGCATTAGGAAGGTTGAGAACCACTGGCGTAGAGCCTCTCAGATCGACTAATATTATTTTATTTGATTCTCATAACAACCTTGTAAAGTAGACTTGATTATTACCCTTTGCTTGATAAGTTCATTGGGGCTCAGCGAAAGGCAGGGACTTGCCCAAGGTCACACATCTAGTAAGCGACAGAGATGAAGTAAAAAGCTCAGGTCCTCTGACTCCCAAATCCTGTGTTTTGATCGTAGCCTTTATAGTGAGCATAGAGAATACAGTGGTGGCCAAGGACACACGCTCTAGATGTCAGGTTACTTGGGTTTGAATTATGGCTTCAGCAATTACTGGGTGTATATCACATTGGGCAAGCAACTTAGCTTCTTGGTACCTGAGTGTTCTCATCTCTGTAATAATACTTATGCTATCTGGTCGTTGTTATTCCACAATCACGTCTTTCTGTCCTGGCTGGATGGATTGACATGACAGAAATGTCCCAAAATGATCCACATTTATGTAGAAGGTTTAGCTGGAACCTCTGTTCCATTGCTCCTGTAACTTTCCCTCTCATTAACCAGCTCTCCCCACACCCTGCCAGCCTCCTGGACTTATGGGATATGTAATGGTATAATATATCATGTTTCTGTCACGTATGGACTTAGAGGATACTGTTCTTCAGGAAAGGGGTGGCTCTGGGTCACCTGTTAATTGTGTTCTTGGTCTGGTCCATGGCACATTGAGACGGCCATTTACCTGCTGATTTGCTAGTACACATTACATATACTCGAGTTTTAGAAAAAATGCCACACAACCTCAGGAACATTCTACCAGATGTGATTTTCAGATTTCACCAGAGAGGGAAAAAATATAGAATGAAATGCACACTCAGTTTGAGAGCCTGGGAGGTAATTCTGTCTTCGCTTTTGGAATCCCAAAGATTGATGAGTAATTGCATATTTGATTTTATTTAAGCATTGCCCTAAGCCCCACTGAGATGGGAAAACTCAGTTTTTTCATCTGCTTGGCTCTTCTCTCTCTGGAATGATCCCAAGTAGGCAAGATGGTGTAGTAGGAACAGGCCGACTTTGAATCAGACAGAAATTGGGGTCCGCCCCTCTGGTTTGCTGCCTCTCTTATCTCTGACACCTGCTGAGGTTGTGATTTGAACAGGTTGTTGAATTTTAACCCAGAGTCATCTGAATCTCAGAAATGCTGTGGAATTTTCATACCTATAGAAGGCAGATAAGACGTTTGCCTCCCACCTATGCACTTCTTGCAACCTCACCTACTGTTCTGGGTGGAAGGTGGATTGCTTAGGCGAATCTTGCAGAGCTGTGCTGTCTCTGGGAACAAAGGATTGGCATATAATTCTTCCCCATTAATCTTTCCCTGTTTGACCCAGAGCCATCCAGGCCCTCATTACTTTCCTGGGTCCTAGGATTCCATTATGCTCTTTGATCGTCATCCTGTGCACCCTTGCCAAGTCATCTTCCTGATTTTGCTTGCAAATAAGGTGGGACACAACACACAGGGAAGAGTCTTTGCTTCACACACCAGGTATCGCCTGAAATACCTTCACCTTCCATGGCCCCGTGCTGCTGGACCAACACCCACCTTGTCCGTGGTGGCAGAATCTTGGGGAGGTTAAAGGGCAGACTCCTGCGGTCCTTGGAGTACTTGGTTACATAAATCTCCTGTATGAGGAGCAGCTGACTCAGGCAAGGGACCTTGTTTGGTTTTCCTTGAACTATTACCAGGGAGATAAGAAGGTTAACTGAGTAAAGGTTGAACAGGCCAGAGTCCCTGCGGAGTGGCCACAGGGATCAGATCTTGTTACATCCTTGCTGAGGATGCTGACTCTTTGGGTTGGAATATGAATAGAAGAAAAGGACGGAGAGAAGTGCTCCAGGACTGAAATGCAGGGTAGCCAGTCGTGGCTGTGAGTTAGCTTCTGGGAAGACTCTTGCTGGCATATTTGCGTGAAAATAGTAAGATGAATAAAACAGGGGTCCTGCTTTGGAGGAAGGTTGTGGCTGTGAGATTTGGAGTATTCCTAGCAGGACAGTAGCAGAGTGAGGACGACTGTAGGCTCACCACCGCAGTGCCTCAGTAATCCTGACAGCCTTTACACTGTGCCAGGCACTGAGCTGCGTGCTTTGCCTGTCAGAACTCCTGGGATGTCTCCTGCAGCCCTGTGAAGTAGATTGTATTTTTATCACCATTTTACAGATGAGGAAAATGAGAGTTGGCGGTTCAGTGACTTGGCCAAAGTCTCTGCTTCGTGTATTGCAGGGACTGGATGTGAATCCCAGTAGGTCTGACCCCAAAGTCTGTGGAGCCCACAGCTCTTTGCTGCCTAGAGAGCCATGGCTCTCAATGGTTGTTGACTATTTTGGGTCACAGATCATTTGGGGAGCTGCAGCGTGGCCTTTCTGTCCAAAGGAATTCACACATGTTTGGTCCTCAGGTTAGGAGCTCCTGCTCTGGGGCACATTTATCATGACATCCTAGAAGCAGCACCAGGTCAGACTGCCCCAAACCAAACTGTGCCTTTGATCAGCCAAGTACACCTAGTCCTGCTGTTGGTCACATGCTCCTCCATAATGAAGGGAAAGGAGAGTGAGGAGATGACCTATTGAATGGGTCATGAGGTCATCATGGTTTCGATGAGGGACACGAGCAGCAGATGACCTCTGACCCCAATTAGCCTGTTTATTAAGTGCCTCTGAGGAGCTTGTGAGCTGGCAGAGGAGGTGACACCAAACAGTGAACAGTACAGAGGAACCCAAGAAGGGTTTAGTGCACAGGGGGTCGCCAATACGAGGGAAGGAGCATGGATGTGGATGACGGAATTGTGGGTTCCACCCCCAGTCCTGCCCGTGGGTTCCCTGACTGTTCTTCACCAGCCACTGCATCTTGCTGGTTTCCTCCTTAGAGAATGAAGGAATTGCATTGGATTAGGCCAGTAGTTCTCAACCTCCCTAATGCCTCGACCCTTTAATACAGTTCCTCATGTTGTGGTGACCCCCAACCATAAAATTATTTTCGTTGCTACTTCATAACTGTAATTTTGCTACTTTTATGAATCGTAATGTAAATATCTGATATGCAGGATGTATTTTCATTGTTACAAATTGAACATAATTAAAGCATAGTGATTGATCACAAAAACAATATGTAATTATATATGTGTTTTCCAATGGTCTTAGGCGACCCCTGTGAAAGGGTCGTTCGACCCCCAAAAGGGTCGCGACCCACAGGTTGAGAACCGCTGGATTAGGCCATCCTCAAGGCCCCTCTGAAGAGTGAGGGGGACATTGGGAGATGAACTGATGATCAGGTGCTAGCTGCACACCAGCCCCATTCTGCATATGGTCTAATCTACCCCTCTCGCCATGTCTCCAAGGTTTGTGCCACGAATCCCATTTCTACACATGATGTTAAGTAGATCAAGAATCTGATGCCAGGTTTCCAACTCAGGGTCGGATTAGTCGGAGGTGGCAGGTCTCTGGGATGGGGGAGGGACAGGCAGATTTGCGATGAGACGATTGATGAGACGGTATGGAGCCAATAGAGATAAGGATCAAGTCTCCAAACTGCTTCAAAAACTGATGTTTCTCCTGTGCTTTTCTTCTCTATGTCAACAGGCCACTTTCCAAACAAAGCCATGCCCTCCGCAGGAACGCTTCCCTGGGTCCAGGGGATCATCTGCAACGCCAATAACCCGTGTTTCCGGTACCCAACTCCTGGTGAGGCTCCGGGCGTTGTCGGAAACTTTAACGAATCCATGTAAGTACCAGGTCAGGTTTTCTTTCCCAAATTTGTCAGTTAGTTCTTCTCTTCCCTTCTCAACCTCTGGAGAATTCTGAAGTTGCTTTCGTCAAGGTTTGTGCAATGAAGTCCGAAGAATGAGGGCAGGGAGAATTGCTGCCAGATTTAAGATTGTGGAGCTACAAGTCATGTGGCTGGGGGGCGGTCGGGGGTGTGGAGAGACAGTGTTCCTCCAAAAACTGACTATGTTGGGAAGGGAAGACAAAGAGTGTGCTGGTCTCCTCTGGGGAGACCTCTGCTCCATGTGTCGGTTCACTCATTTAGCAGACATTCTCTGTGCATTTGAGCCGCCTGGCCTAGGTGCTGAGGAGGGGTAGGTAAGAGATGTGCATGGAAGGGGCTTGCTCTCCAGCTCACAGCCAAGGCCCTCTCTGTCCTCAGATCAGCTCTCTCTCTGTCGGTGCCTCTCATACTGCCACTGCCTGGTCTTTCTCTTCCCCGGTGTGAGTTTCCTGAGGGCCAGGATGTCACTCCCTTCACTTTTGTATTCCTGACTCCTGACTTCAACATCGAACATCAGTATGGGTTTAGTAAGTGTTTGCCGAATGAGCCAGTAAAGATTCCTGGAATGTACAGACCATGGTCGGAGTTAGAATGGACTGTAGGAGGTGTACCCAGACCGTCCTGGGGAAGCTGCAGGGCTACGTTATAATATCCACAGACCATGGGTATTGTAGTTTTCATGGCCCCTTCTATGCAGAAATATTAAAAATTTTATTTCATAAGTGTGTTGGTGTAAAGGTGAATATAACCCAAGCTGGATTCATCTTATACATATTCATTCTGAATTTGGGGTTTTATTCTGCTTCTAAAAGAAATTAAATTTTTTTTGTGCACCCCAAGAGTAGCCTGAGTCCTCGGTACTATGCCCACTGTGTCTCATGGATAAGTGGGCCCTGGGGGAGTGTGTGTGTGTGTGTGGGGGGGGGGGGGGGGCTTCCTGGAGATGAGGCACATGGGCTGGGCCTTGAAAGAAGTGGCAGGATTTGGTGGACATATGGGGAGGAGCATTTGGGCTGGGCTGGGAGTGTTTAGAAGCCTAGAGTATCAGGGAAGCTGGGCATGGGGAGCAGCAGGAGTAGAGGACCCGGCAGCTAGGTTTCCTTCACGTGGGAGAGGCAGCTGGCCTAACAGAACTTTTGTGCTTTTCTTGTCCTCCCTGCAGTGTGTCTCGCCTGTTCTCAGATGCTCAGCGGCTTCTCTTATACAGCCAGAGAGACACCAGCATGAAGGACATACACAAGGTCCTGAGAACATTGCAGAAGATCGAGAACAACAGCTCAAGTAAGCCAACCCTTGCTCTGTATGGGTGTATCATTGGAACTTGGCCTGCCGCAGGGAGAGAGCAGCTCAGGCGTCCTGGTGCTTGCCCCTCTTAACTCTCCCCTGCTGGGTTTTCCTCCTCTGTGGCTGGGCTGGAGGCCTTTCTGCAGGAGGCATTTCAGGGGGAACTGGGAAAACAATGAGTGCCCTGGCCTCCTCCAGGTGACAGAAGAAAACCGCCCAGAGAGGAATGGCACAGGCCTGGTGTTAGGATGGCTTAGGGGTGCAGGGTGCTTCCAACTTCATTTCTCTGGAGTCTAGGCCATATGGTTGCAGTGAATGGGCCGATTTATAGACGGGGATATTTCTGTGCAGATAAGAACAATTAAAGTTGCAACTTGATATGGATAAGTGAAAATAAGCATTTACTTCTAAAAAGAAAATGCAATTCATCTTCCCCCTAGTCAACTGATTAAGCCTGATGGACATTTGAATTCCGATCTCTAAAAAGAGCAATCTTGATCTCTGATTGGATAAGTGCCGGGCACGCCATTTAAGGAAGTGTCTGCAGAGCAGGCAGTTTGTTGGCCAAGGTGTTGGCTGAAGAAGTCGTGGAGCGTCCAGGGCAGTGGCCTGCAAGGCGGCAGGGGGCGTGGGAGCAGTCCCCTGGGTGCAGACCACGGTGGTGTGCATGGTCTGCAGAGAATTTAAAAGCAAAAATGAAGCCCAGTGAAAGTCAGTCTTCTTTTTATCATCACCGCACACTGGTGGTTCTAAACAATGTCAGTGATCAATTACTCCCCATCATGGGCCAGCTGCTGCCACTGCTCAAGGAAAGTTCTTTGTACTTAGTTTGGTGTTTTGGGTGAGCTGGCCTTCTCTGAAAGGCCTCCCGGTTTGGGATCCACTTGGCAAAAGAAGAAATGGTGTGAAGTGTTAGAGTTTAAACCAGAGTTGGATGGCAGACAGATCTGTCCTTTCCCTGGGCAGGGAAAGAGGCAGTGGGTGGTGCGGGGCCTGATGACAGAGGGAAGCGAAGCTGTGCCTGGTGGCACGGAGAAGGTGTCACTTCACATCCGACAGAGGTGCGCTGGCACTTAGGGTCAGCGTTGAGGGCCCTCCAGCTGGACTGCGTTTGGCTGCATGGCCAGGCCTCCTGGATGCTGTTTCCGTGTCCTGTAGGTCCCTGGTCCTGCACACATGTCTGTCCCAGCGCAGGACACAGAGAGGTGCAAACACCAAGCAAAGCACCAGTCCCTCCTCATCTACCGAAGTACCACCTGGTAGACCAGAGGCAGAGCTGGGGTGATCCTTCTACTGCAGAGGCAGTGTGGCCAGAGGAAAGAGTGGAAAGAGTGTTAGGATATTTTACTTTGTGGTTTTGTGACTTTGTGACTAAGTCCCTTGGGCCCTGTTGGCTTCTCATCTATGAATTGGGAACAATGGGAGAAGCTACCTCATGGGATTAATTTGAGGGATAAATGAGATAAAACATTTAATTGCTTAAAAATCGCATTTGGTACATAGGAAACATCTAGCGGATATGAGCTAGGATTATTTTGCAGTGGAGACATGTTGGCCAAGCCATTTAGCCTTTCTGAGCCTTCATTTCCTCAGCTGTAATGAATAGGTAACTTGCAATGTAAAATATGAAGTCTAAGTGTCTGGCACATAGTAGATGTTCAATAAATGGGAGACAATGTTGTTCTTATGTGTCAGCGATGCATTTCTTAGCACCTGGCCTTGCTCTTCTGCTCTCAAGTTCATGGCTGGAGAAATAGACGGGCTGATGGGGGTAAACTAGCTGTTAAACGGAGTTTCAGATCTTAGTGGGGCTTCCTCAGACACAGCTACGTTTCTTCTTTGAGCACCTGGCCATAGGAGTTCGGGTGGACGAGAGAAGCCAAAACTGCATTCGAAAAGCTTTCTCTGCTCAGCTCTGAAGAGAGAAGATCTCCGATTCTGATCGTATCCAATCAGTGCTTAGCTCTCCATTCACCCAGTAGGTTCCTTTTCTGTCCCGTAGCCACTTCTTGCATCTCTTCCTCCTTTCTTTGCCTGTCCTGCTGCACAGAGCCAGGCCTCATTCCAGAGGGAAACACGGGAAGTGTTGCTCCTTCCTCGGTGAAGTCAGCCATGTTTTGCTGGATTTGACTAGCGCTCTGGGTTTCAGAGAGTCGCAGGCTGAGGGTTGCCATGCAGATGCTGGCAGAGAGGCCTGCGCTTGGCTCCCCTGCCCTGTCCCCATCAGCATGGGCAGGATCCTTGGTCTGACGCCCTGCCGTCCTCAGCCTTCTCTCCCGTACGCCCACTTCCCCAGGTAGGGACCTCCCTCTCACACGGCAGCTCTTTTTGGGTGTTGACAGCTTTCATGATCAGAAAATATCCACTGCCCTGCTATACCTTTTAGAGAATGAGGCTAATTTTATTTCCCTTGAAATAGTTAAAGACAGCTCTTGTTTTTTCCTACCTTTTCTCCCCCCCCCCCCAATTTTTTATTTTTCTAGACTTAGGGAATGACTCCCCCCGCTCTGACCTCTGACTTGGGTCTCGAGCTTGCCCATTCCTTCGGCTAGATTTTTGGGACAATGGCATGACTGCCATTTTCTGTGTATTCGTGGTACGCATCTGGTTTGCTCGGCCTTTCTGATGTGCTCTGTAGGACTTTTGTGAAGTAAGTCCTGAGGCTTCAGCTGGAATTTACTTAGGGGAAAGGGTCACGAGTTCCTGGCTGTTGGATTTACTGGCAACACTGAGAACTAACTGTATGGACCTTTGATTCTGCTTTGATCATTGAGTCTCAAAAAGGCATGATCCCCAGAGGGCAGGCAGGCTTTGGGGACATGGCAGTGTAGTTGGCCATGGCAGGGTGTTGAGGAAAGGGGTCGCAGAATTGTCATCTTGTAAACATCCGCTGGGCAAGTACACTTTGGTGTTAAGAGAACACACTTGGCAGCCAGGCTGCCTTGGTGCAAATCTTGGCTCGGCTGCCTACCAGCAGGTCATTCCCTAACATCTCTGTGTCTCAGTTTCCTCAAAGTGGAGACATTCACAGAACCTCTCTCAGAGACATTGTGGGGAATAAATGAGCCAATAAGGATAAAGCATTTAGTATAGTATCTGGCACATGGGAAGTACCAGGCTTGTACTTTTTGTTCACTGCATGTTCACAACCATCATGTGAGGTAGGGAATTTTGTTCCTTTTTATGCACATGAAGGCGCCGATGTTCAGAGAGGCTAAGTAATTTGCCTAAGGAAGTACAGCTGACAAGAGGTAGGAAAAAGGCTACACCGTCGGTCTTTCATACTCTGCTATTCCTACATCCTAAAGAGAGCAGCCCAGTGAAGCCAAGATGTCTCGAAGGAAACAGGATTCTAGGCATTCGTGGGCTGGGATCAGAAAGGAGACAAGAGGGCTTCCGAAAGAGCAATGCCAGACTTCCTCCACTTCCCTGCTTCATGGGTCACGGGCATGGGTGGACCGCTCCCCAAGGCCCATCCAGAAAGAACATCCTGTGACTCACAGCCACTTCTCCTTCCCGCCTGAACCCTCCCCTCCTCTCCCCTCCCCGGGAGCAGCCGCTGAAGGGGAGGTTGCAGCCCCAAACGTTGTGTTTTGTCCTTGTGGGTCCCCTGTGTGTCATCTTATTGAAAGAGCTCATGACCTATGTGTCAATATCATGTCATCAAACTGGAAATTCCTTTAAATCTTTGGGTGACCTCAACTCACATTCTGTATGCACTTGTCAAAAGTTCTAATTTAGGTCTTAGGGTTTCATATTTTGAAACCTTTCTACCTAATGTGAGAGAGTTATCCTGGATCTGTCACAGCCAGCCTGCTCCCAGAGCCCGGGCCCTCGCTTTCCGCCTGCCGTGGGGCTGGTCCCCGCCAGGCTGCAATCCGGGGGCTGCCACGCTTGCTGCAGCGCTGTGTTGAAATCCTGCCTGAACAAAATCGAGTCAAAGGTCAACATTACCCAGGCAAGAATAGAAGGCACAATTGTACTCGACGACAGGACAGCGTGTACCCCGCAATATTGGACTGCCTTTAAAAAGTTTGCATTGCTCTCATCAAGAATAGTAGGAAAAAAAACATTATTTCTTGACTTTTGCTTTTCCAGTTTAAGATTTATTTATCATCTTATAAACATAAGATTATATTTACAATCTTGGGTGACAAAGAGCAGTTTGGGAGTTCAGTTTGTTTCCAGTTGAGAGCTTCCCATTTCCGGTCCTCTTATCACTGCTGTACCGGGGCACGAAAGGGCAGGGCGATCTTAGAGTGACACTTTGTCCAGCGGATGAAGTCGCATCAGGTAATGATGCCCTTTTACATTTTAATATATCATTACCTTCAAGACTTACACCGCCACTAGCAGGTTGATGTTATCATCCCCATTTTATTGATGAGGAAATTGAAGCTGGAAAGTGTTATGTCTGGTGCCCAAGACCATTGAATAAAGTTGGGAATTGAATCCAGGTCTGTCAGCATCTTTCCACCACCCTGTGCTGCCATGTTGCCTTATACCGAGAAGTAAGGGTAGCATCATTAGCGTGATGCCAAAACATGATGAGGCATTTTTTTAAAGAGTAAAGAGATTTATTTATTTCCTGATATAGTAGAAAGAGCCAAAGCTTTGTAGCCAGAGCCGATCGGGTTCCAATTTGCCACTTGCTTGCTCTGTAACCTTGAACAGGATATTAACCTCTCTGGGTCTGTTTTCACATTTGAACAATGAGAATAATATATTTCCTGGAAATCTGTTTTAGGGACTTAAGGGAATAATTCATATCACATGTCTGATGATCAGTGAATGCTAATCAACTTCCACTACCCACAAATCATAACCTTTCTCCTTAAAATATTGTATTAACTTTAAAGGAAGAGAAACTAAGCTATTTATACATGATACAGGTTAACAATTCTTCCTTAGTCCAGTCCTGGAAAGAATCTCTTCTCAGCCCCTAACTCATAAACTCATCTTCGTTTGGGGTCCTGAACTCATCTCCCAAAGCCAGC